TTAGTCTCTGAGAGTTTAATATGTCTAACTGTAGAGTTTACACCCTTGACTGCTTCTGGTGTTCAAAGAACCCCAGTCTGGCTTCCTCTCTGTGCCAATACACAATTCTTTTTTTCTTCTGTACATGGAAGAGTTATTTTTTTCTCTCGCAGTCTCTCTGATGTTATTTAACGAAAGAATAGAGCCGCTGCAGTGTCTATTTGACTTTGCCCTTTGTGAACAAGTTTTGAATATTTCGAATACAGAGAAGAGTAATTGTGTCAATTAATGACATTTTTGGAGCCTTGCGTAGAATTTCCATGGTAGAATATATTTGACAGGAAGGGAATTTTGTGTGGATTTCTGTTTCAGATAATTAAGGTAACAAAAAGAAAATTTAATTAAAAGTTTAATTAATTGGAAATCAATATTTTCAAAAAAATAAAAAAAAAATTAAGATTCATTGTTAGAGGAAAGAACCAAGATGCATCAACTATTTTTGTCATAGAATTTTCACATGTAGAAAGTTAAGGTTTTGAGTTAACCAAGTAAACTCTTGGTGTACTTGGATAAATGATTGTGAAATCATTACCAGGGCATATAACACTATAATTCTGACAGCTGCTGAATGTACAACAATAATGATAATGGAAGGATTTTTTGGAACATAATGATTTCTGCGTAGAATTGATCTAACTAAAACCATTTCTGAATTTTTAGAAAGAGATCATAATTCATCAGCTACAATTGAGTGTAGGGTAACTGTTATCAAAGGATCTGCTAAGTTTAGTTTATTGAACCTATTTCAATATGTACAAGCATCAAATATACATGTATAAGGATATTCCACCTCTTCCAACAAGAAACTTAGGAGTCCATTATGAATTTATACAAACATGTAAAATCATGTACAAACTTTTCTCCAAATTATGAAGAATTTTGTTAAAATTTTGGGCTGAAAATGAGCCATTCAACCCATTCTTCGCATTAACCAATCATCTCTAAAATACATTGCAGTATGTGTATAAAAGTGTATAAAAAAATATGTGTTTATTTTATAGGGAATTCTTTGCTCTTGACGAGGTTTTTGTCTTCTAAATTCAAAGTGCAGTACCCTTGGCCAGTGGGGTACTTTAAGCATGCCCCATCTCTATGATCTAATTATGTTTCTGGAGTGTTCCAGATTTGCAATGTGTCAGTTGTCAAAATAGAACTAAAAAAGAAATATTTGATAAAAATACCACAAGATCAGATAGGTCTTTATATTTCTTAACTTCCTTGCAATATTATATTTCAACCCCACCACAAAACGTGCACACAAAGTAGCCTCCTTTAGGAGTGTCGCAATTAAACCGAAATTCATATGTCCCTATGACGTCAATTTTGCATGCACGCAATTCAGGGCTTTTAAAAAGCATGGGTGAAGAAGGCCAAATTCTGATCCAAATATATGCTTTATAACCTATTTAAATTCATCATCTGTGTAGTGTTAAGTTTTACGTGGGTTATATAATAGTCTGACAAAGTTTTTTGAATAACCTGAACACAGACAAAAAAAGTTACAAAGTTAAATTACCTACAAACAAAAGGTCTTAGATAGACACATCAATCAAGTGTTTTTGAGCTATCAATGAAGAACAGTTTCATGACAAAGATTTATATACTTAAACTATGATCGTGTCTTTTTAACTCGTGTTAACATAGGTCAGCTGTTCTGATCTGTTTCATTTAACAGCTTTATCTGGTAGTTGCCTTTGTTGTTAAAAACTGACGGTTTGCCAAAGATGTTAGCTACCGTATTCATCCTTGTAAATTCCCACGTCCCGACACGTGCCTAATTTTTTTTTTTTTTTTACATAATGGTACCACTTGGTGCTTTTTGTCGTATATGTCACATAATATGACATATACGACAAAAATTTCTATGTGTATTAATGAATTAAGCAGTAAAGCCAATTTTATTTTGAATCCACATGGGCAGAAATAAACTTTAAGATGTTTGAGATATTAAGGTTAAAAAAAATAGAGAAAATTTAGTGGCTTTCTGTGACTGCAGGCACCTCCTTATATCAATGGTTCTCTAGATATCAGTGTTCAAGATACCAAGGTTCAACTGTATTTATGTGCATTTTTCATTTTTATTTGGCCTCAGTACTTTCTCCTAATGTATAGACAAGTCAATTACCACTGACAGATTGAGAGACTTGACTTTTAAAATCTTTGGAGCTTTTTTTCTCCAATTTTCAAGTAAAGTTTCCTGTAATATGTTCTTACTTTGTAATTTTCAAAGTACTCAAATGCAAAAACAGAATAAGTGGCCATATAGAACAGGAGAAAATATAAATTTCACCCCCTGTGGGGAATCGTTGCACCGTTGCCTTTTGTACTCTGGCTGCTTTGAAACCCGTGGGTCCCAGGAAGACCTAATTTACAGCGAATTAAGTTTCCTAAAATGGAATGTACCTTGTGGTTTGTTTGAAATCCATACCAATTCATCCCAGGGAGACCTCTTTGTAATGAATTTAGTTTCCTAAAACAGAATCTAGAGGTTTGGGAAGAAATATCAATCATTTTATTGATCATTGCAGCATTGGATTTCCTGCTCCCGATAGTCCGTAACAAACATGCAACACTAGGCCTGATAATATCTGAATATTTCTTAATAGTCAAAGTCAGTTAATCATACGGAAGAACTTAAAGCATTAAATTGAATCTGCTTGAAAAAAAAATGCTTTGTTCATTGATTGGTATTAATGTTTAGATTAGAGATTTTAAGACAACTCAGAAAGATGTGGTTACTTGACCGTTTGAATTAGTGTTTGAACTTGGAGAGATAAACAGTAGATCTAGAGATTTTGGATTATTAGAAATCTAGAAATGAAGCATATACAACAACAAAAAATGATTGTCAAAAAGACCACATGTGAAAATTGTCTCTCCCTCTACACAAAATACTAGTAGTTGCAAATCATTTTTGTCAGGGACAATATATGTATGCCATATTGCTCATAGCATTTGTTGCTGATTCTGTCAATTTCATGTAGCATTAATTTCAGTATGTATTGTTACTGGCAATGATTGGTGCTGAGAAACCGCTTAGAGGCATGTATTATTTCTGGCTACAATATATCCAAAGCGACAATATTTTCTGGGACAGGTGCCATAATTTTCTAATTACATCCCTTGCCAGAACTCTTCTGTTTAAAAAAAAAAACAGTACAGTAAGTCCACAGAAACAAGGAAAATAACTCTTTTTCAATGTAACTTTGTTTCTGAACAGGAACAATATTTATAGTTGAACCTTTATGTCTGGACATTGAGATCTACAATACTATAGTTTTGTCAAAGTAAGTTTGAAATTGCAACTGCTTTGATTTTTTATTTATGTATTTTAAACTCAATGTCTTGAATCCTTGGATATCTCAAAGTATTTTATTTGTCCCAGCAAGTCTGAGATAACAGGGTTTGACTGTATAATGGACTCCACAATATGATTGCTTGTTCAGTAAAATTTGAAAATATCTTGACTATATGATTTTAATAATTAATTGGAGTAAAAACAGTCAATTTTTTTGAAGAGTTTATTCATAAATGTCATTTTAATGTCAAAAATACATCTTATCAAAATATTTTTTTTAAATGTTAATATTTTTCTTGGGAATTTTGTTTGAAGAAAAATTAGCAGCTTAACTATTACCTGTGTTAAAGTCATGTTTGTTGTCCTCATGTATAAGAATTTTTTACTTTCTTATAAGAATAAGTATTGGAAGATTGAAAGAAAGAGCAAACTGAGAGAGGGGATGAGGCAATGGCAAAATATATATAATGAGTCATTTTAAAATAGAATGAATTTTGACATAGTTATAATGATAATTCTCCCTCTCTCTCTATCAAATTGCAGGCGTACATGCATGATTTTATGTTGCCGAAGAAATATTTTTACATATCAATAGCAAGTGTCATAGAATATGTCTGCAGAGCAAATGTTCATAACCCCATGTTCACTGAAAAATGTTGTTAATTTTTTTTTTAAATGATAACTAATAAAGATTTTGACATATCTCTACTTTAACATGTTTAAAGTTCATTGCCCATTTGGACAACGTAAAACATAAAATGTTGATCCATTTAACGTCTTTAAAGCCATTTTAAATTTGAAGTATTGACACCTTGAAATGAATTGAAGAGAATTAAATCCAAAACATCAAGAGGTCTAACATCAGTATTAAAGCTGTAAATGCATGTAATATCACTTTATCATTTGGCACCAAGGAACCTTGTGAAATAATATTTTCAAATATTTCAAAATAATGTTTTTTAAGCTCCGAGATTTATTGCACAAATCTGTCGAGCAGTATGGTGCTGATATGCCATAAGACTTTTATTTTTGAACTCGGTAGGGCAAGAGGATAAAAAGGGATGCTAGGTTCAGCAAAACAGGAAGTGTTAATAACTGTTTCATATTAACATTTAACACAGAAAAAGAACTCATCGCTCCTAGATATCTGTTGTGTGCTGATAAAGACAATTGTTTTCCTGTACGTCTTGTTCGTTTATACCTTGCTGCAAGCAACTGTTCTTGTAATTCCTATACTGTTTACTTTGTATTGACAATGAAAGGAACCAGGCATTTTTTTTTCAGTGCATAGGAACTAAAAATAATTGAGAAAGGGGGTCTCGTTAACTTGGAATGCATCACCCATTCAAAATTCTGGCTAGGATGAAGAAATTGGGGCATTTGAAGTTATTATTGTGATCTGAAATTGCTTTATTGTTCTACATGAAAGTTAAGTGCATTGGAGAAAGACAGGAAAGAGGCTGCTACCAATTAAGTGCTCAAGGGAGCATGAATGAAATTTCTTGACTGTGTTTTGGTTAAAGACATTTTAAAAAAAATCACAGCAAAAGGTTAACTTTCTAAATTCTTTTTATTATAACATGACTTTTTTTCTTCTGTTGCCAGTAATTAGTTAATCTAGATTCCAGCTTTTAATGAACATTCTGCTTTTCTTTTTTTCCAGTCTGAACTGTAGCCATGGAACAACTGGATAAGTTTCAGATCATCTTTAACAACCCTTCTGCCATATACAATGCTGGGGACACTGTTTATGGGTATGGCTGGGCAGTCTTCAAAGAACCTATACATGTACAGAGTAAGTGTTAGAGAGAGAGGGTCAGGTGGAATTCTCCAGTTCAATTTGAAAAAAAAAAAATATTTAGGCTTGAAAGCAACTGTTAAAGTGGTTTTACAAGAAGCAGATTGAGCGTATGGTGCATCAACTAACTTTAATGAGATGGAATTAGTGTGACAATAATGATTTGAACATGCTTAAAGTTTACAGTTGAGCTTTGTAAATCCAGACACTTGAGTTCCTGAAAAAAAATCTCTCTGGATTAATGAAGTGTCCAGATTAATTATAATTAGAGTAATTAGATTTCATAGATTTCACAGATTTCATCCAGATGGTGAAAGGTCTGGATAGCCAATATTGTCAGGATTATATTTCTGGTAGAAATTTTCTGAAGATTCCTTTTTTTTTCAGCTGTGTGTATGGAGGCTATTGGAGAGGCAAAAGTGGAGTGGATGACCTCCAGTGACATACAAGCATCAGACGAAGAAGTTTTCAACTACACAACAGTCCTACCCATAAAAGGTAAGGTCAAAGGTCAACTACACAACAGTCCTACCCATAAAAGGTAAGGTGTCAAAGGTCAACTATAAAACAGTTCTACACGTAAAAGGTAAGGTGTCAAAGGTCAACTATACAACAGTTCTACCCATAAAAGGTAAGGTGTCAAAAGTTAAGTACACAATAGTCCTTCCCATAAAAGTTAAGGTGTCAAAGGTCAACTATACAATAGTCCTACCCATAAAAGGTAAGGTGTCAAAGGTCAACTATACAACGGTCCTTCCCATTAAAGTTAAGGTGTCAAAGGTCAAGTACACAACAGTCCTCCCCATGAAAGTTAAGGTGTCAAAGGTCAACTATACAACAGTTCTACCCATAAAAGGTAAGGTGTCAAAGGTCAACCTACAAAGCTGTTAAACTGCTTATCAAAGGTAAGCTGTAAAAGTGCTTATCAAAAGTAAGATGTCAAAAGTCTACTTACAAACAACAGTCAAAATATCCAGATAAATATTCTAAGTAGTAATTTCACTGCATTTTACGTATTTTTTTCAGGAGAAGATAAAAACAGTCAGGGTGCTACGTTACACGAGGGGTCACATTACTTCCCTTTCGAGTTTACTCTACCTGTAGATCTTCCATCATCTTTCAAAGGTAAACATGGCCGTCTGCGATACTTTGTGAGAATGACCATCTGTACATCAGGAGGACCCCACCCATCACGCACCAGTAAATTCGGAGTTCAGGGGGCACTTGACCTTAATGCAGAACCCAATGCTGCAGTAAGTAGTTTATTTTATTTTCCCTCACTGCATTGTTTGAGCTCCTATGATATATGCAGGTCAAGGTATCTGTAGGGAGATATTGTAACCCCCCTTTTGTCAGATGATTGCTATGTATGGAAATTGGGCTATACTTTTTATAAGTTCTTCTCAATATAAATATGAAAAAAGTGTAAATTTTAAGTGTGTGCTCCTATGGTAATTTTGGATACATTTTTTGTATAGTCATCAAAATTTAAGCATCGTTTTCTCTCTTTGAAAGATATAACATTGCTGGTTAACAAAGTGTAGCAATACTTTTTAGTGTATTCAGAATTTAGTCAGTATGCACTATCAGAGTTTATTCTTATTACATATATGTGCATGCTACACATTGAAGATTTGGTGGTTGATAGAATTAACACATTGCCAAAGGGTCCAAACTAAACTTTAGTTAAAAAATCAAGTTCATGCAATGAGATCGATTTTTGGAACATTCCTCTCTGTTTCAGCTTCCGGTGGAGAATGACACGTTTGAGCCCCTGGGGTCCTTGTGTTGTATATCTGGTACAGTAACAGCCAAACTTCACCTGGAGAAGAAGGGTTACACCGTCAAAGAATCCGTACCTGTGTATGCAGAAATCAAAAATCTCAGCAGTCGGAGAATAAACTCTACTTCTGTGTCATTAATACAGGTAAAAAAAAAAAATAATAAAATAAGAATGGTTGAGTAAACTTTTATATAGATAAAGTTATTTTCTGAATTAGGTCTTCACTTTGTTTAAGTGTTTGGTTTTGTTTAAAGGGAAATTTTATTTGCATGACTAAGTTTTCACAGAACACTTACACACCAAAACATTTATGTACATGTATGTCTATGACATAATATTTTACATGTACTAAAAATATTGATATTTATACTATATTACCAAACCTTAAAGTCCCCCCCCCCCCAAAAAAAAAGAATAATAAATACATACACAATCTCTTGATAAACAGTCAGGTATTAATATGTATTAAATGTGAAGTAAATAGTGTTTATCATGTAGGACAACACTGTCTATTGTTACCATTCATATGACTGAGAAATTGAGTAATAAGATATACATATGTAAGAATGGTAGAGCTTTAAAGTTATGTAAGGAGAAAAAGAGAGACCACTTGACTGATATATGTACCTCCTATACAGACCTAAATTCTGTAACAATTACTGTAATATAAAATACGTAAACACGTAGAAATGAAAGGAATAGTAGACACAAAGGCTTTTGTGTAAAAATAGGGGAATTTTTTTATGTGCCTTGGTATTGTTTGGAAGAGGTGCTTGACTTTTGATGTTTGTGAAATTTTTGGCAGAGCTTCATAAAGTGAGATTTATTTGTATAAACACCTAGTAAATACAGGGAAACTAATTAATCGAGATTGAAAACATTTCTGTATGTTGAAAGCAATGGTTATACATTTTGTAACACTTTCAAATTGGCTAAAACTTGGTTAGTATCTCATATGGAATGTTTTCGAAACCTGGTTGAAAATTCATTGTTACAATATACATTGTGTACATGTATTTGAATTTACTCTTCATAAAAGTATTCTGTGGAAAAAGAGCTTATTCTTTACTTTTAACATACAGATTTTTTTTTATCAGACTCGATTTAGAGGAATAAAATGGTGTTTTAGTTAGCTTAAAATTAACCAGCTAATTGTGTGATTTCTTTTTATTTTGTACTCAAAAGTGCCAGAAATTACATTTATGTACAAGTACACAATTCCTAAATGGTGTGAATAGGTTATTTATGAAAGCATATATATAGATACATGTATTAAAACTGTTATTAACAAGGGCACTGCAAAGTGGAGCATCCCCTCACAAGAGCAAATTTCTCTAAATTTATGTACTTTTAAACCAGCCTATATGACATCCAGTCTGATATTCTGCTACATATTGATTTGCTAACCCAGTCACACACTCACAAGTCTATCCTTTCCAACTTCTTTGTCAGAGGATAATAATCAGTGTGATTATTTTGTAGATTAGAACTTTGTCTATAAAAATCAGATGCACTCATTTCAGAAATATTTGTTTTGTAGAATGTGACTTACTATTCATACAGAGGACGATTTTCAGAAACTACAAAACTGGTGACAATCCACAAAGGAGGGGTGGGGCCCCGGGGTAAACAGACATGGCAGAAAGAATTACTGAGTATCCCCACCACCCCTCCCTCTCATCTCCATGGCTGTAAAATCATAGACATTCAATACTGTATAGAGGTATGTTTTATAGGTCATTGTTGTTATTCTGGTAAAAATTGACAAATTCTATAGTTAAAGGGAGATAACACTCTGAGAATTTCTTTCTGAGACATAATGTAAAAGTAATCACTTCATGTGCAAGAACTTTATTTTCGCATAACTTTGTTAGGACTGCTTAATTGCGAAATTTCATCCTTGTGTACATTATTATTATTAAAAATTATACATATCAATAACCAAAATTTTTGAATTTTTTTCTCACATAAAAATGAAAAGTCAGGAAAAAAATTTTTATCTAGAGTAATTACTACTGGTAATCTGAATGTTTTTTTTTTTGGTTTATTGAGTGAAATATGTACTGTGAGAGTACAAGATACAGTATATTATTCCATGATTTTATTGGAAATATAATACAAGAATATTTACTTTTTGTTTACAGTTGGCCATCAAACCCTCTGGCTTCGGTAAGAAAGTAAAAATACCAGTGGACATCATTATTGGATCAGTTCCCCTTCTAGAGGCCAAAAAAGAGAAAACGTCTTACCACCCCCTCCCGTCCATTGTCAAAGATGATGTGATTCCGTTCCCATTCTTTGAGCTTGGTACAAACCCTAGTCAACACATGCTTCCTACAGCTCCACCATGGGAAGAGGATGATGATATTCCATGAACACTGGTAAATATGACACTGTTTAGGAATTAATGAGGAAGGTCTGGAATATCATTCATTCTTGTGATATTTGGCACATTGAAAAGAAACATTGAAGTATTTATGAAATACTAATGAATTTGGTGTTGAAATGTGAATCCCTTAAAACAGGGTTGTGGTCCTTAGTGAATTACGTAGATTAGAAAACAGGCACATTGTATCTTTGTTAGTTGTATTGTGCTTTGGTTAATTGTTTTATCTGCTTCAGTAAATGTTGCCTGAGCTTGAATAACTATAGAGACTGAAAAAATTCTCCCTTTTCTTTCTCATTACATTTACATGTTGTGTTATTTTTTCAGGTAGCCCTTGAAAAACTTCAGCCAAACAAGAGGAGCATCATAATATCTACTGTAGACATAGTAACTATTGGGAACTTGGAGATTTAGGGGACCAGTGAAGATTTTTCTCTTGCCATAGTGACAAAGGAAGTCTCTCATCTGCATACAAAAAGATCTGAACCATAGACAGTGTAATTGTGTCTAATGTGTGAATGTAGATCTGATATGAACTACTGCATAGCAGTTTAATTTTGCAGATATATGATTTCGCTAATTTTTTTTTCATTTATTGGAAGGGGGGGGGGGGCTAATATTTGTTAAAAATTCAGATATGTCTTCAATGTGTATAAAGTGACTTTTGTTTATAAAAACTTATCACTGTTTCTTTAATGTTTTCTGGTAACCCAGTAATATGTATGTGTAAAAGCTTCCTTTTTTGACAAGTATTTTATACCTGAATTGCTTTTTGGAGTGTACTTTGATTTAAGTTTATGTCCATTTTTTGATCAACTCCAGTACATCCTAAATGGATAACTATTTATAGAATTAATTCTGGTCAGGGTGGTTAGTTCTGTCTCATACCTAGAAATCCAATAGGAGTAGTATCCTAAATATAATAAAAGTATATTCTACCTAATTTAATTAATCCAGGTGTACATGGAAAAGGTCTCATCTTTATATTAACTGTTTAAGATTTCAAAAGAAAATGAAAATATACTTGTATATAAGGGGCCAGTCAACACAGTGGTGTAGTTTTACTTGGATCAACTAAATCCTGAACGTTTAATCTATATTACATGTCCCACATTGCATCTCTTAATGATGATTAATCTTTACAAGGTCATTGTGAGTTGACAAGGTCACAGGTGACTAGGTCACAGTGTGGATTCTGATGGTCACCCTCTGATTATTTTTTATTTGATTTTAGTTAGAGTACATTCAGAGGGTAGCCAAGTCCACTACCCCCCCCCCCCCCTTCATTTCCCACTTTTAATGTAGTAATGGCTGACCCTTAAACAAACCTTTGAATATAGTCTTATATGTGTTGCCTTGTAGTAATGTTTGAGTTTAGTTTTTGACTATAGAATATTTTGTAATCACATTGTTCTAATTACACCATTATGCAATTGTCACCAAAGAGTATTTTAGCTTTAATGTTTTTAAATTCTTGTATTACAATTTAATGTATTGCTTAGGATGAACCAAATGTTCATTTGGAATGAAACATCAGTTCTTTTGTGACATAATGAAAGTAGCTGCTTTAATTAGTTCTTTTTTTCTTGTATGGCATTCTGTGCTGCATAATTCTTTCCCTTTTTTCAAGAAGCAGAAACTAAATTTTGTGTACTAGAAAAAATTGTTGCAAATATTTAAAAAAAAAAAAGACACAATTTGTTAAAGATTTATACTAGTAAGCACTATCTGCGAAAAATATACCTTGTATGCACATTAGAAAATGATAATTCAATGACTGAAAAAACTATATACAGAATGTAGATATGAATATTTTTGTCTGTAGATAATAAGGGAATTTTGAGTCGCTGGATAGATTTTTTTATTTTTAAATGAAAAAAAATGCTAATATTTTGAGAGCGTAATCTTTTATTTTTATTATGATTTGTGTAATATTTTTGAAAGCTATTTTTTACTGATAATATTGTGATTTAACGAGTGCTATGGGCAGATAACTGTAGAGCTTGCATGTAGTGCTTAATTTTAGTCCAGTAGTTTGTAGTTTTAAACCATTCATGTGTTCATTTTTAATATTGACAAGACCTGGTTCAAAAATCTCAATTCATAAAACTATTTCTTATGCAAGCAATACATATATATTTTCTGTATACAAAGTTACTTTAATAATATGTCATGTTTTATAATCATTATGTGTGTCATTATGTGTAAACTGGAAAGAGATCAAGCATCTTCACAACCCCCCCCCCCCCCCCCCCCCCCCCCCCCATTTTGTTGTATTTTTGTACTGGTTTCTTAAAGAAAAGAAAAATCAGAAAAACCAAACTTTCTGGGAGCACAGTTGAAATGTTTTTTGTTTTTTTTGTACTCCCATTAATATTTCATTTGGATACTGGTATTCATCGAGTAATTCTTTTACAGTACTAACGTTTAATCACTGTGTACAGTATATTTCTCCTGTTCACTGAAATATTCATAACATTTGTTTCTATTATTTTTTTTACACACATGTAACTTCAGGGTATTTTTCATGCAATCCATATTTTTACAATCATGTTTTAATCCAGTTTGTTTATATGTACCAGTGTATGAGTTCCCCGAATTCCATACAATGAACTTCCAAAGTACATGTACTATGAAAAAAATAATAATAACATATTTATGTTATTGATGAAAATGGAAAACTATTATTGTACTTGTCAATTACTGTATGTTTGTTGCAGATAATGAAAACTGATAATTGTAAACAACACATGTAGTTTTAATAAGCAAGTTAGTTGTATCAACACAATGGAAATGTGGAAAGAAATAATATTTTTTCAATGCATGAATGCCATGAAATAAGGAATATATATTGAAGAGAAGTTTGTTTGCATTAATTATGATGTACTAAGCTTACTAATAAGTATTCCTGTGTGTACTTGTAATATTGGGAATCTATTTTAGGAATGCTAGTTATTTCTGCCAGTTTTGTGCATCATTATATCCATTATGGCTATCTTATTAACCTCTCTCTCTCTCTCTCTCTCTCTCTCTCTCTCTCTCACCAAACTGATATTTTGCTATTTCATTTTTTTTTAATTCAGGGTTTTATGACATCATTTTTATTTCATTAATGTGCCATTTTAAATGGTCTCCTCTACAAGTGCTTATTTTTGTATGTTTTTTTCTCTGTTCCACAATGATTAAAACTGTTGATTTTCTGTGATTGAATTGTGGATGAAATAAATGTGTATGTTTCATATTTCTGCATACATGTACATTGTGTATGTTACACATGTTTAATATTTGTGTGTACATGTACTGTTTTGTATGTTACACATTTAATATTTGTGTATACATGTACATTGTGTATGTTACACATGTTTAATATTTGTGTGTACATGTACTGTTTTGTATGTTACATGTTTAATATTTGTGTGTACATGTTAAGGATCGTGATTAAAGGTTGATTACAATACTTCAACATTTGTTTGTATTTTTTTTTGTAGCTCACCTGAGCTGAATGCTCAAGTGAGCTTTTCTGATCACCTGTTGTCCGTCATCAGTCTGTCTAGCTGTCTGTCCGTCTGTAAACTTTTCACATTTTCAACTTCTTCTCAAGAGCCACTGGGCCAATTTTAACCAAAGTTCGTATAAAGCATTCATGGGTAAAGGGGATTCTAAATTGTTAAAATGAATTTAAGGACCAAGCCCTCTTCCAAGGGGAGATAGACAAGAAAAGATGGTAGGGTCATCAAAAAATCTCAAGAACCACAGGACCAGAAAAGCTGAAACTGGTGGTGAATATGTTACTGTATAAGCAGAATTTGTAGCAAGGATCTGATTTTAGCATTTTAAGAGAAGGTTTGAGATTGCTAGAATTTAAAACTAATAATTTATTCTACATTAATTAAGGGTAAAAGTTATCTTTTATAGCAGTTAAAAGCTGCTAAATTACTGCTTACTTTTATATGCTTATGGCTGAAGTTGTGTCTCACCCAAAATTCTACTGATAAGGATATTACATATAGAATCCATAAACAGTACAAGATTAAAAAGAAATGTTTTGTCTTTCACTTGTTTATTTAAATTAATGGTAAGCATAATAACTAGTTGTCAAGGCAATCATTATATTAAAAATATTGATGTAAATATCATTAGGAAATATCTTCTTTCATGGTAAATGAATACAAAATTCCACATGGCTAAAAATACATTCTTCTGGGTTCTAAACAATGTTTGTGTTCCTCTTTATCTAAATCCTAATATTCTCTTGATTTTGGTTTTAAGAGTTTTCTTCTTTGGCATACAGCTGGACTTCTAAAAAATAAAAAAAAAATTAGTTATTCAATTATAAAGAAGGTGGGTGAACATGACGAGCAAAAGCTATAGTGTGACAAACATAAAGGTGAAAAGTTCCTTTAAAATATGAATTGTAGATATACAAGATATCCGGCATCATTAATAATCCATAAAAAAGATGTTACATTAAAACTGAACACGACTCATAAATACTCTATAATACTCAGCAGTAGTTTTCCTATCTCTAAAAATTATGAACAGTGGGGTATACCCAAGCACGTGTTCAGGGTGATTGTTATCTGGCTGTTTCTACAGTGAGTGACGACATGTATGTGTTGGTTTTCTTACATTGCCTTTGTTAACATTTTATTGCAGTTTTTGTATTTGTGTTTGTTTGTATTGCACTGTCTTGTCTAAGTTGACCAGTTGATGATGTATTTCTTTGGTAAGCTCTCCCTCTGACTTAATTGACAGAAGATGAGTGGTAATTTTTTTTTCACTCCCAAGTATTTCGCAAAGACAATGTACAATACCTCCCAAAGATGAAATCTGAAAAGCGTACTACAATTGAGTGTGATCAATGGAAAGGCTTATATATGGGCTCTAGAAATAAAGCCGAAGTGGAGAAATATGGGGGGGGGGGGGGGTATTATATTAATGTTGATACAATTCTAATTCATACCCTGTATTTACTCTCCCCCCCCCCCCAAAAAAAAAGAAACAACAAACAAAAGATGTGTTTGTGAAACACTGATGCTCCCATATGGCAGCTCAATGCCAAATTGAAAGTTTTTTAAATGTAAGCTAAACTCCAAGGTCAAGAGTTCAAAAATGTTGATACCCGAAGAAAGTTATTGTCGTAAGGAATACAAGTAGGAAATATAATAGCTCTATTCCCAAGCATTCAGAAAATATGGACAAGGGTAAAGTTTTTCAGAAAGGTCATACACCAAGGTCGATGTCATGGAGTCAAAATATAATGGCACCAAAGGAAAGGTCTTGTCACACGGAATGCATAACGAAATATGAAAGCCCTAGCAACAATTTACCACTTAAAAGATAAAGGCGAGATTAAAGTTTGTTTTTTTTTAATTAAGGTCAAAGGTCAAGGACATGAGGTCAGAAATGTTGGTACCCAAAGAAAGGTCTTAAGCTACAAGAATACACATATGATATATATATATATATATATATATATATATATATATATATATATATATATATATATATATATATATATATATATATATATATATATATATGATGTCAAATATGCTGTACGCAAAGAAAGGTCTTGTCACAAGGAATATACATATGAAATG